TAAAATATGAAATACAATAATAAAATATGAAATACAATAATAAAATATGAAATACAATAATAAAATATGAAATAAAATACAGCAAAGTCATCGTGGAATCCAGATTCACTTAACAACTGTGGTGATTCACTTAACAAATGTGGCAAGAAAAGTTGTAAAATGGGACAAAACTCACTTAACAAATGCCTCATTTAGCAACATAAATTTTGGGCTCAATTGTGATTGTATACATTGAGGACTAGCTGTATTTTATTTCATATTTTATTATTGTATTTCATATTTTATTATTGTATTTCATATTTTATTATTGTATTTCATATTTTATTATTGTATTTCATATTTTATTATTGTATTTCATATTTTATTATTGTATTTTATTACATATATTTGCTATCCACCTTGCTGTGAGGTTACTTTAGCTGGCTTACAACATTAAAAGCTATAAAATAATAAAACACAAATATTTCTAAAAACAATACACTAGACTCACAATCAAAAATAAAATTACGGTTAAAAGATGGGGAGGGAGGGAGCAGGATGCACAGGAGGGGAGGTGGGATTTTCTCCTAATCCCTTAACAACAGCCTGATACTCCCCCATTTGGCGGACCAAGCCAGCTGGCAGAGCCAGGTGTTCAAGTCCTTACGGAAGATCAGAAGGGGGGGATATCAGATCTCACTTTGGGCGGGGATAAGATGCTCTAAAGCGCAGGAGCCACAGCAGAAAAGGCTCCTCATGCTTCATTTGAAATCTGATGGGCAGCAGAGGGCTGAGATGGCAAGAGGAAGCCTGTCAGTGCTGACACTCCTGGGAGGGGAGGGACAGGGCCAGCCGCTTCTTGCAACAACCAGATTTGGCAAACCTGATGCAAAATCAACATTCAGTTCGCCCGAACCAGTGCGAACCGGCTGAATCCCAGCCCAGTTCTAATTTTATTTTTAAGTTTTGTTAGTTGCCTTAAGTCCTCTTCAGATTCCAAAGGCAGGATAGAAATTGAAAAACAAAACAAAACACAGCAGACAGATTTACCTGGACTTTATTTTGCTGGTCTCCAAAGTGGAAGTTTAGGCTCTGAAAAATGGGAGAAGTCATATTCATCGCAGTCGGTGTTAACACACACACCCCAACATTAATAGCCCTTTATTAGAGAAATCTCTGCCCAGTTGTTTTAACTTTGATAGTTTTTAAAAGTATCCAGATATGGATTTTTAATGAGGCAAAGGGTATCCATAGGAACCTTATCCAGTAGTCGTTGGAGAACAATAAAACATGAAAGTGGCTTCAGTGCTCAAACAGGAAACATATTGAACTGTTTTTCCTTGTGCCGGATTATATGTCCATATGACTGCTTTGAAATGGATCATGACATCTTCACTTTTGATTTCTGCCTCTCTTTTTTTAGAGTTTGGGGAAACTCTTTCTGAGCGATGCCAGCCTCCAGCAGCACAGCCTGAGGCAAGAAGAAACAGCATTAAGGTGGAACCAGACACCAGCCGGCAGTGAGAAGCAGGGACGGCCTTGGTCAGCCATTAAGCAATAATACTCCGGCCAGCTCTGAGCGTTAGACAGGGGGGCTGTCCTCTGCGTCATTCCCAGGGAGGCTGTGGGACTTCCTCGCAGAAGGCGAGGAAACTGTCATAACTAGCACAACCAACTCTTCACCCTATTCTCTTCATGAAGCGGAGAGCATGCTTTGGCTCAAAAACAGAAGAGCATGGACCTATGGACAGCAAATGACGGAGGAAGGAAGCCTGCCATCTTAATTTAATTCAGCACAGAAGAGAGGTGCCCTGGCTACAGTTGATAGGACGAGCTCAGGTAGACCAAATCTCTGGCCCTCTGATGGACTAATGGAAGGTCATACTTACCCTCACAGCCTTTCCTCCCACGTGAGACTTGAAACTGAGGGGTACATAGCCATAAAAAAAGCACATACGTATCCTGTACATATTTTATTGAAAGGCATATGAGTGATTGGCCATAAACAATATATCTTGTTCCCAAATTGTCCCATACTCCCGTACTCTCAACCACACACATACACATGAAACATGTTTGTTGTTGCCTTTCAGTCTTTGTCACAGATGTTTCCTGTATGCGCAGAAACTGCATCCCCAGGACTGTTTGTAGCCACACACACCCTGCAAACCATTTTGCAAATTGCCATAGCAAGGATAATTCTTGATGTGACAGAAGGAAGAAAAAAGATGTATCAAAGACAATGGAGGTTACTATGCTATCTGTATAACTAAGCAAAATATGTAAATTGAATTAAATTCAGTTTTTGTGTCCCCCTCCCCTCCATTGGAATATGGTCCCTTTAGTCACTTTTATGCCCAAGGATGGTCCTCAGATCATGAGAACTGGGGCATCTTAACGCCACGCATTTTGCCCATCCCCAGAATTTTCCTGGTTTTTATCGTGTATACAGTGCTGAAAATATCCTCATTACTTCACTTGCCTGCTGATTTTATATTGTGGTTAATAATAAGCACTGATTGCTGTTCAGCTGAATTTGGAATGTTTGGAGGTAATTTGTTTCCGAATGGCTCTAGGGAGGATAGAAGTTTACCCCATTAAAAATAAGGATTGAACTGATGCCATTTGGATATGGGCCACACTAGCAACAGCTGCCTCCACACTAAACTGCATCCCAGGAGCAGTTTTAATTTGTGTGAAGGTAGTCCTCGACTTACAACTGCCATTGAGTGCAAAATTTCTGTTGCTAAGCGGGGCATTTATTAAGTGAGCTTTGCCCCATTTTATGACTTTACTTGACACATTTGTTAAGTGAATCGCTGCAGTTGTTACATTAGAAACACAGCTGTTGGGTGAATCTGATTTCCCCACTGACTTTGCTTTGTCAGAAGGTCTCAAAAAGGGTTGA